CACTAGTCAAACAGGCACGCCATACATGCAGCATGCGATGGCGACAGCGAGCGTGTAGAAAAACCCTCACCTCGGGAATCTCTTGCAGGAAGCTTTGTGCATCTGCAACCGGTTCAGCAACAAAAGCCACCGAAGTAAAGCCAGAGGACTCTGGAGACACGAGAACCCGATGTTCAAAGTCGATCGGGCCCTCGCCAATGGGCAGCTGCAACTTGTAGATGCTGCCGTCAGTCCAAGTGGTCCACAATAGGCAACCATCAGCCACCTCAATGCTTTTCACATTATTCGGCCGGCCTGATTTCCGCCATTCGTTCACATGTCGCAGGTCCGCAACATGAAGCCCGTACAACGTTGATCTTCTGTTTGTCAGGTGCTCCTGCAAAATGTAAGCGCGCTCACACCTGCTGTCGAAGGCAATGCTCCGGATAGGCCAAGGTGAGAGGTTAAAAAACCGGGGCTGATAAATGGCTTCCCAAGCCAAAGCACCATCTGAAAAGGTTGCAAGTGGAGCACAAAACAAGCTTCCATTCCTGGTCACGAGGAAAATCGTCTCTTCATGCAGGGCAACCTCTGCCGGTTCCTCTTCTGGTGGCGGGTGAAGCTCTCTGCTGCATGGATTCTTACCGCATCTTTCCAACCGAAGCAAGCATCGTCTGTGAGTTTGCACACCTTGGCCCGACTGGCTTGATGTTATGGAACTGTAAGGGATAAGCACAGCGTAAATGTACTCTCTGCTGCATGTAACGGACTGGATCTTTCCCGGAAGGTCGTGGCCAATGCAACGCAGTTTCCAATTCTGGTCTGCTGCCGCTTCAGGGAATGCCTGGCCGTAAACATAGCCATCTTTGCCTGTGGCATACAGTTGCGGCCCTGACTCCACAGTGGTATACAGCCCAGCAACTTTCCTTGACCAAGCAGCATAGCAACTGTCACATAGCACAAAGGTTTGCCTTTCCGCTTCAACCTTCTGATAGCAGGCCACACAGAAAGGATTAAGGGGCTCCATGTGGAAGTCGGGCCGGCTTCTGTTGGCCCTGTTCGGTCTCAGTGGCACATCGTTGCTCACAGCCGAAAACCTTGCCGCATAGTCTGCCAGGAGGCTGACGCCTTCTTCGGCAAAGTTCTTGAAGTGGTCCTCAATGCGCTCATCATTATTCCTGCAAAATACACATGGCAATGCCTCTTGAACAAAGCATCCTAGTTGAAGGCCTTCCAGCTTGAAGTTGTTTTGCATGGCATGTCTAAAACCCAGAAAGAATCAACAGAAACGCAAACGAAGGACTACTGGGAGACAGCTGGTGGCAAGTCCTGTAAAAAGGCACGAAAAGCACGCAAGCAACGGGGGCCCGATCTGGCAAGATGGTCAGAAGAAGTATACACATTGAAAATACGTTGAACATCATTCATTGGACAGCTAATGCACTCTATGGTCAGACTGAGGTGGCCTAGAGTGGCGCAGGCGCGGCCGCAGTCCTCCGCCAAATTCTTGCAGCAGCCCGGGTGCGCTGCTGCATTTCCTTGGGAAGATCTTCATCCAGCTGCTTCTTGTCTTCAAGGCTCATTTCAAATTCACCCTCCCAAGTGTCGTGGTAACTGGAGCCTGTCCACACACGGCGGAGCAGAATAGCAAATGGCCTATCGGTTTGGTTTGTTGAACAACTATAAATATATCTCATATATTATCATAAATATGTACATGGCGTATACGCCGTAGTGTCCAGGAATCTTGCTTGATCAAAGAGACACTCACCCCCTTTGCCTCCGCCAGTGATGAGCATCAGAAGTGCTTCGAAATGGCCCAGGACAGGTACTTCAGTCACGTGTTGTTGTCCATGGCCATGGTGGGGCTTCTTGCAATAAACAGGCTTGCCATCGCCTTCATACCGAGGGTATATAGCTTGGCACTCACAAAAAAACCATTTTGAAATATACGAGCAGCTTGGAGTACAAAGATTGGGCGCGGTCGTTTTGATCCTCTTGTGGAAAGGCTTCAACACCTTCCGATAAGAACCTAAATGCGAGATTTCTTGCTGCAATCAGCATGGATAATCTAATCGAGGTGGCTCTCCATTCCTTCAGCGCACCTTCTGTCTTGCCACATCGTACCTTCGATTTTCTTCCCAAATCCAAGAAGACTTCCTTCAGCACATTTTGATCCTCGTCAGGGTGCCTGCGCATGTACTCCTTGAGAGCTCTTGGCACTGAGGGAATTAGGCCACCGTCTGACTGCTTCACAAGCTCTGGAATAATTGTCAACAGTGCTTTGGCAGGAAGCTCTAAGCCTTCGCGAGCCCTCATCTTCGTTAGCTCCCCCCGATGCATCTCCAGCACGCTTGCAAAATAGACCATCTTCTCCTCAAAAAGCTCGCCACCATGCAAGTCTCTCTTGGAAGTGTGCTTGTTCGGAAAGGTGATTATTTGAATTCTGCTGAATGACAATTCGAGCATCTTCTTCCTTGTTTCATTGTTGTCTAGTTGCCCAGTGAGCTCTATATCTCGCTGCCGACCATCCTGTCCCTGCTTCACGTACTTCCCAAGCTCAGCTTGGTTCCAGGCAATGATCAGAAACGGCTTCGCATTTGCTGTGAGGGCGGGGTTGAGTGTTTTGGCCAAATCCAACAGCTCATCACATACATCTTGATGTCTCAATGGATTTTGGGTCGTCACATACACGAAAGTATTCGAGAAAGCCAGGGCCAGTCGAGGGAAATACTTGGCCACAGCGTGCTGCCTCTGCTTCTCTTCTTCGTCCGAAATCTGCATGCGAATCTCTCTAATGATGTCCATATCCACTGGCACCTGTTCGGAAATCAGCTGCATCAGGGGAATTGTACCTTTGGGGCCCTCCATGTCAAAGAATAGCTTCTCCTTGTGGATGAAGCATTCGATATCTCCTGTCATTGCAATCTCGGGAACATCTCCGTCCACCAACAATGGCTGCTCTCCAGCCCTGTAGTGTTTCAAGATCTCTGCAAGCAAGAGTGTCTTTCCACTCCCTGTATCGCCACAGAATGAAATGGAAAGGTAGCCATCCTTGCCATGGGCGATCTCTTTGAGCTTGCCCAACTCGCTTCGATCAACAACAGGCCGCAAGATCCGGTCACCACTGCTGGCTGTCAAGTGTCTCAAGGATATGACCGGCTTCTTCCTTCGTCGGTACTCCACCGCCTGCCGGACAATGTCCGCTGGGACCACCACGACCATGTCTCAAGGGTTGGTTCTGTCGCAGGTCAAGACAAGAGAGTCTAAAAATGAACCTCGCGGCTTCGAGTGTGATAGGTGAAAATGGGCGCAAGCGATGGCTTGCGGCTAAAGTGAATGAAACAACAGACTGACTGACTGTTTCCATCCTTATTTTCATCGTCTTGTGCATGGGCTTTCTTGCTAGCTGTTGAGCCAGTGGAACTGGCCGAGCAGAGCGGAACTTTCATGCGTTTTCATGCTCTGCCTACGGGAGTCCGAGGTGAGCCTCTCGAGTCTTTGCCACAACAAAACACACTGTCTGCCACGTTTTTTGGACCCCCAAATAGATAGAAAACAGAATAAAATCGATCCCCACTCAAAAGGTCTTGGAAACCGTGCCACTATCTATTTAGAAATCTTTCTTAAGAATCCTCGGATCTCCTCGTCCCGGTCATCCTCTTTGGCCACCGGCGGCGAATTTCGGGCGTCTCCTCGAAGAGCGGATCACTCTGACAACTCTTCCGTCGAACACGTGAAAAAGACAGCCCGTCTCAAGAACCTGTCCAATTGGAAGTTACGCCAATGCACGCCAATGTCGAAGCGAACACGTCTCAAGTCTGACGAGAAAATCAGGGTGGCCCACCAGCAGCACCGATTTTTGAGACCTTTGACCGGGATCGTTCGCCATAAAACACACGCCAGGGATAAACCCTAAAACGATGAAGCGCGTTCGCCAAGACAACACTCTCAGCGGTCGTCCGAGGACAACCCTCTTATGTTGATTCCAAGCAAAGGGCCACCGTCTTCTACCACCGGTCACCAGAAGTTTGGTCAAGCTAAGCGGGCTTTTCGTCTGGTGGCTTCTTGAGCCTCGTCTGAAGAACCTAAGAATTGCAAGCTCAGCGGATTCATTCAACAGAATCCGGAAGAGAATCCCCAGAAACACCAATACTCCCAAGCTTCAAGATCTTCACAGTCTCAGCTAAATGTGCCTTGAACCCCTGTTTGGATCCAAAACATGGTCTTTTCTTATCCATACAGCGGTCAAATGGTTTCTAGGTATATGTGTAAACAAGTTTGACATATTTAACATCAATTCTGCTTTGATGTATAAAGTGCTCCTGGACTCGTTCATGCAAATGATTGACCAAATGTGGTTGATTGAAGTACACAAAGCATCCCAGAGCAGCACAGGGCAGTCCTTGCTACATCTTCAGTGCACCATGCTCATCCTAACCTGGGGGAGGTTAGGAAGCACACGTTGGCAATCTCACACCTTACGCATCCCAACAACCTCAGGCGAGGCCTCTACTGTTATTCTCGGACTAGCTGACTAGCTGAATGGCCAGGCCTGGCAAGTTGCCCATGGCTCAATGGACATCCATGCATGGCTGCATGGCTGCATGTATAGACTCTGAATGCATTTCTGGCTGGCTTTTGTGGGATGGTGCAATTGGCCAGGATTCACTTCACCTCTATAGTTCAACATACTCCCGAATAGCCTAATGCGTTGTTGGAATTTATCCAATCAAATCAATGCTTGAATCGGCAAGCCACTGTCCATAGCTGAGCTACTCTCTGGAATGGAACAAACGAGACAACTCTTCTGGAAGGCTCAACTTGCAAACATCTTCCAAGCAAGGCTCCCTCACAGTCACAGCATACAGCAATCGGCGATCATAGCTTGTTGCTGCAATTGTCACCCTCGAATGATATTCTATCATGTTCAATGTTCCATCAAGTTCCATCCAAACACAACGTCTTCCAATTCTCCGAAATCAAGCGAACACATGCTGCAATGCTGCTTGGCTTCAGACCCAGTGCTTGTAGAAGGGCAACGGTACCTCGCTCGACGCTCGACTCCACTCGAACTCGGAGGCGACTAGACTCCGTCGACTCCTCCGTTGGCCCGTGGGTTTCTCAGACCTGCAAGACTGTGTCGAGAGACATCGAGCAAGGTGGTTGGTTCATCAAAGAAGCTGGTGAATTGAGTGGTGGATTTAGCGCATCCCTGTTCATCCTCCTTTTCTTCCCCCCCCGAAGGTGGTTTCGGGACCGGTGCAAAGGTGTCCTCTGTTAAGGCCTCTGATTCAAGGCCTCTGGCTATCGCGTCGCAAGCATCCGGACGGTGTGCCTGTGTGCCTCTGTGCGTCGCTTCTGTGTGGATTTGAATTGTTTCAGGCGGAGTCATGTTTGGTTCGTCCCATCCAGTTGAGTGGATGATAGGGGCACCCCGACTTCCTTCCTTCCTTCCATCCTCCGTTCGGCACCCCCCCCGACTTCCTCGACTGCTGGTTGATAAACATGTGACGTTTGCTCCGATGGTCTCCGATGTTCTGAAACGAAACATGGGCACCTGCATGGGAGTGTCTACACGGAAGCCATCCACATCCACACTTGCAATCAGCGCTTCGGTCATGGCCAAGTATTTCTCCTGGTCCACGTAGAATAAAGAAAAAGAAAAAAAAGGCGACCGCGACTGAAAACCAACCCAAACAAAAATCCAGCCCAAGATGGACCCTGCCAAGGGTTTTAGTCAGTTTGGTCCACTCTTTCCAGTCAACCGTCTTTTGGAGGCTCTGATTGCAATGATTGCACCAACTCCATCCATCGATTCTGTGTGGATGGAGTTGGTGACACCGCTGAAACCAACCGGCCCACCAGGGTCCAGAATCATATCGAGAGCTAAAGAAGAGGTATAGAAAACGCAAACGCCTCACAGTAGTTGTACGATGTTGTACGCTTTTGTCCGGGTCATCTACAACTTTGAGTACTGATGTTCTGCAAAATCCGACGACACTTCGAAATCACGGGCAGCTCGTTTTCCAGCACCTCCCGTCGTGTGTGACTCAAATGCGCTTTGGAAGTCTCCAAACCCCAAAAACCTCACCCACACTTATTATATACATAACTTGATTCTACATTTGTACAGTACATGTATCTTATGTTACTTATGTTACTTATGTTCCACTGTTCTGCAAAAAGAAGGCTGCTGTCTCCAACACGACTGCCTCGGCCTTGCCCCAAACGGGTCCTGAACCCGCCGGCTCTCCAATCTCAAGTCATCCATGGTTCCATAGATCTTGGCGACCTCGGGGAGGTGGCAAGGGCCACCAGGGCGCGACACGGGCGCGAAGCCGACGCTGCGCACCGCTGGGCGACCGGCCCAATGTCTGGGTGAGATGGTGCCATCCATGGTGGGGAGGATGTGCTATTAATATATCCTTTTCGAAATCATGGGGTGAGGCATGGTGAGGCCAGTCTCCTTGCTGGCAAAATGCACTTTGCTCGAATGATGCTATGAAACCGTACCTATGATTTAGGGACCACTTTCTTTGGTTTAAAACGTGGGAATTCCGAGCACAAATCTGCATTTTTGTTCCTCCATGCTCCACTATGCCCACTCCAAAAAAAAGACACACTCCCATGCCACTGCACCGTCCAGGGTTCCCGGCATTGATCTCCCATGGGTCTGCATAGTTCTGCAAGTCACCGTTGTGATGAAAATCGGAGCCTGGACGACGAGTTACATCGGAGCATGCGGTGACTCGTAGTGACAGCGGAGCCGATTTGGTGACTGCTGCGCGTTTGCGTTGGAGAAAAGCCAACGCATGTAGGATGAAAAAGGCATAAGCAAGCATGAACCGGGCTTGCAAAGGTTGAGTTTGGATGTTTGGTGATCCCCTTTTTTGCCTTTGCCAGGGTTGCTCATTATGGGGCTTTTGGAAGTGCCTCTAAGGAGTGTGCAGTGTTTGGTCGCGAGGGGTCATCCCCTACCCTAAACTGCTTGGGCTTGGCTTTAGTTCTGCTGCGGTTTAGTAATCATTTTTGGCAATGGTTGACTTGACTTGGCTTGAACAAGCTGGAGGGTTGGGGGGTTCGGCGCAGCGCCTCCCACCCAAGAGCAAACCAAGTGCCAAGCCACCCAAAAGCCACCAAAGTTACAAGTAGCCATCAAAAGCCAACGAAATCCACGAGAACCAGCAAGCCATCAAAAAAACAAACCAACCCGCAGCCAAACGCCAGCCGGCCCAAAGCCACAGAAGCCACCGAAGTAGAAAACCGTAGAAGCCAGCAAAAGCCCAAAGCAAGAGAACTACAAAAGCAACAGAACAAAAAGAAATCCCAAAAAGAAACAAACAAACATGGCCCTCACAAGAAAAGCGCAGCAGAAGTCTCACCCACATTGCAACTATGCGTGTTGTCACGAGAGCATTCACAATGCACTCCTTTCTGGAAGAATGACTGGTTTCATGCTCACATGGACGACTCCTGACTGCTGAGTCTCCACAAATGAAAATAGAGATTGACAAGCAAAAGCTTGTGGAAGAAGAACCCTCACTGAGATGGACCTTTTACCTCCTGTTCGGGGCTCCTGTTTGAGTTGGCCTCCTCCAGGTCAAGCCGCTTCATCTGCTGTCTGTACTCTGTACCTCTACTGCTTTCGTGGACACCTCGGCCGCCTTTCTGTACTCGGATGACGTCCTAGTCCATCTACTCGGGACCAAACAGGTGGGACCCACTGTCGGACTCGGCTGCCTCTCTAGCCTGGGCCCCCCAGTCTTCCAAAACGACACCGAAACCACAACGACATGACATGTTGTTGTCGGGTTCTCCCACGATTGGGGTCCGCCCCCTGACGCCCATCCCACTGAGGCCACCAGGCTTTCGTAGGTTCCTCGACCCTGGTCCCAGGCAGCCTGGCAGCTCTGCGCGTTCGCGCAGACCACGTTTGTCGCTTGCAGAGCTCCGATTTCACTACCTCGCCTGGTTCAAAAACTTACCAAAGCAGCAGGTGCTTTTGTCCAACGATTCCTCAGAGTATAGAGAGTATCAGTATCACGGACTGACTGATGACCACCCTACGAGGAAAAAAAAAGGAGATGCCCAGCTGCCATGGCATGGCACAACGGGTTCAGGTTTGGGATGCCCGATGTCTCTTCCTTTCCGGTTGCAATGGAAGGACCATGAAGGACCCAATGGAAGGACCCATCAACGCGGTTTCCAATGTCTCTTCCTTTCCGGTTTCATTGTATGTGCATACACTTTTTGGTTGCACACATGTGATGATCGTCATAGACGGTTTCTTCCACAGGTCACCTCTCTACAACACCCCTGTGGAGGTCTACCGCGCAAGGACAAAAATCCATAGGTCAATGAAACAAACCTCTTTCTTCCCCTCACCTGATGAATCTGTCTGCCGCCCTGTCTTCTGAAGCGGTCCAGCTCCCCAGCCTCGCCATATTGACCATAGAAGGGGCTAGCATACTGGGCCTGGTGGATGTGGAAAGCGAAGAAGCATTGACACAAGGAGAGGACATCTTCCTGAGATAAAGACGAATATCTTATATGAATATATATATATATATCATATATTATCAATACGTATCCATACTTTCTATATATTTGTTGAAGTGGTTCCAGCTGGTGCCAGTGTCGGTCTTTCACCAACGCTATGAGTGCTGGCATTGAAGATCCTTTCGTTTGCTGTCAGTTGTAGTTCAGTTCTCACGAAGTTCCTTGGTCTTCACAACTTTCCGCAGAGCAGATATACAAGAGTTCAGTGTGCCGACAACCAGGCTATTGTGAAGTTTAGAATCCTTACAAGTGGGCTGCTTGACGTTTGGGTACACGCCCGTTATGAGAAAATTCCAAGAAATCAAATGGGATAGTTGCTGACTTCTCGTCATGTGTTGAGCAAGAACGGCCTGACCCAAAAAACATCCAATGACAAGCACGACCATATCAAAAGGATGCTGGTAGCTTCTTGTTCTTAGTAGTGCGGCCGTTCGTAGCGATGCCCTTTGCTCCGTTCGTAGCTTCACCACAACCACTAGGTACTGACATCCGACATGGCACTCTCAGCCTCGGCCACCCAGGTGTTATTGTACCAGAAGTCCATGTAGGGCTGCTTCCCGACCTCCGGGCGGAAGAAGGCTCGTCCAGGCATGCTCTATGGCTCGGCCGTGCTGGGGTCACGAAGTACAGGTTATATATAATATATAGTTTTGTATAGTTTTGTATATTATATATAGTTTTGGGGAACATCCCATGATCAGTCACAGGGGATGGATATGAATGGATATGACACCTCCAAAAGAGGTCAAATGAGTAATGATCCATCTGAATCTTAATCCCTCAAGTGGAGTCCTTCACCTTCCTTTCGCGTTTGCGGCGAAAAAAAGAAACCGTCCATGTGATGTGAAGACCGCATTGACCTACGGTGACGACCGTTTGTGCATGTGAAGACCGATGAGGGTTTGGGGGACCGAAACCTTTTTTAATGATACGGCGACCACCGAGAGGTCACGACAGACCTAAAACTGACCCCGTGAGATGCTCCGCTCGTATGCCGCATACGAGGCAGAGATTCGAATCAGATTCAACCAAATTCTCCAAGTCTGGGGGTCAGAAGGGCCTTGGCTGCAAAAAATCACAAGCAAACGGCGAGTGGTCTGATCCCGTGCAGGATCTGTTGCAGTGGAAACCGGTGCAGAAACGGCAGGTTGGTCGTCTCTCGACCAGACCGAGCCCGAATCGGGATCCCGCGCTGGAGTGTCATAGAGCTCACGGCTGCTTCTTCGAGGGATAAGCCTCGAGGGATAAGCCCCTCAAATTCTGTTGTGTGATGGTGTGTATTGGAATAGGAAGACAGAGAGGAGGAACACCCCGAAAGAGGACACCCGGTCGACTGGAGTAGACCCCTTCAAACGTTTGGATCTGCATTCGGCCGATCCGTGCAAAACACGAGAAGGACAGAAGGACACAACCCGTACAGCTGGAGACATCGCTACTATCTGGCCTACAATTCCTGGCCATCTCTGCCCGACTATGACGTGAGAACTCCTTTTCAGCTGGAGCCAAATGTAGATCTTTCGGACTCACTAAGTGACACTACTCCTGTAAAAGGGAACTTCCTTTTGTAGACCATGTTCATCCATGTTCCGATTCCAAAAAAAAGTGGCGGACTAGGACACATCCAATAGGTGACCAAGAATTGAACACATCATGAAGGGTAGTGTATCCCATCAAAAACTACGTAACATGGACCCTGAAAACGACTGGTGTGTAGATGAAAACAGGCTTTCCGGGTCTTATTTTCAGGTTCCATGGCTACACCTGACTTGGACTGTCTTGGGGGCCTGAGACTGTGAAATAGTCTTTTTGAGCCGAAGACGGCGTCTTGAAGAGCACAATGAGCGAGGAATAATCGCCGGGAGCTCGCAACGCGTGAGCGGATGAGCCCTGCATGGGGCAGTCTTTTGGTGTTCAATGTCTGCATGGTTGTTGAGCATGTTCTTTTGCAGGTCTGTTGAAAGAAGAAAAAACATTCAAACAAAGAGGTACTTGAGTACTTGAGGATGTGTTGCATAGGTATGTACCCGAAACCTTCCAAAAGACCGAGATATCTCGCGCCTATACTCTCGAAGGCCACCGATTTCATGAAAGCGGAAAGGCGCCTCAAGCACGGCTGGGGTGCAGGATGACGGGAATCAATCGAAGGCATGCTTCGCAAACCGCGCAGAAGTCGCGCTTCTCCTTTGGACCAAAACTACCTGAGGTTTGGAGTCAGCTGATTCACTAGAAAACTGGACCACTTTCGTGATGACATGAATCCAAGGGGCAAGCCCCCATGCGACAATTCCAGCCTGAGGAAATGCCCCCGAGCTTCAGGCAGTGTCGCTTGAGTGTCCCTCGAAGAAGAACTCGTTGCCCATGTGATTCATCACCACATCCTCGAATCCGCCACACTGAATCACTGGTTCCTTGTATTACAGTAGGTTCATCCGTGTTGCCAGTACTTTCTGGGATTGGGCTGCTGCAATCAAACCTTCAAACCCCTGCTTTCTGGGTTGCCTCCGCACCGGTGCCGTGGGCTGGAGCCACAAGGCTGACGGTTGCTTTTTCGGTTGCCAACCCCCGGGGGCCAGCGTTGTTTGGGTGGTTCCTCCTCCGGCGGCACGTGTTCAGACCCTGCCAGTGCACGGTAGATCCACCAGGGGCTCCGAACCACGAGGATATACATACCCCGTTCGTGGGCGGCCTGGGTCAAGGCCTTAGAAGGTATAGAGCAAGCAATGAGCAGCGCGGGTCCTGTTTCGCTTGCCATCCACCCTCGAAGCGGGTCCTGTTTTCTGTTCTGTTCTGTTCTTGTCCTTTATTTTCCTTTCTTTTCGTTTTTTTTCTTGTCCTTTCCATTCCTTTCCTTTCCTTTCCTTTCCTTTCTTCCTTCGGGTTCTCAGCTCGCGACTCGAAGCTCCTCCAAAGTACCCAGCCGACGATCTATCAAAGTGAAGTCGTGTTGTGCGTACTGATGGTAGAAGTTGAACCTGGGTGGCCATCGGTCAGCTGGGTAGATAGACCAAGTCTTGATACTGAAGTGGGATCAAACCAGTCGCAAGTCGAAAATCAAACACGAAGGTCCAGCGCTTGGAGGGTAGCCCATCATGTGCTTTCACACGCTAGGAGGTCACTAGAGAAAACATCTGCATATTATGGCTTGCCCTGTTTTGGTCGTGAGAACTTCCAACTTGGGGGATGATAGCTCATAAGCCATGATTGGGATTGTGTCACTGTAGTACTGTAGACCTGAAGCTGATGCTGTTTTCCTCAGCTCAGCTTCACCAAGCTTCCGTGCCCATTCTGGAAAATCGGTGAAATCCAAATGGCCTCAGGCCATGCGTGCATGAGCCAAGCCGGCCAAGGGAGGTTGCTTTAAGCTCTTTTGGTGAAAAGTTGAAGCTTGCTCCAACGTATGGTGCCAGGCCAAGACCTCTGTCCACAAATTTATGGTTCCCTTCCTTTGAGGCAGCTTCCAAGAATCATTTTGAGAATGTGTCTGCGTGTGGTTTCTTGTCGGTCGCTTATCGCTTCGCCCGTGGCCAGTGGCCTCGTCCGAACGTGGCAAACATCCCATCCTCGCGGGGCCCGCCTGACATCCCAGACCTTTGATGTAGTCAAGCTTTTCTCTGAGGCCCACGAAGTCGCCTCCATGCCTCGTTGGTCAGAGAGTGGGAGGCCATGTTCGGGGTTTTGTGGAGGCAAAAGGACCAGGAGCTCTGTTCCACTGAGCAATGTGTCTCCTTCGGGTCTTGTTTTCAGGGTTTCTGAGTGAATGAACAAAGGAGACCTTTACATCCGACAAACGGCGAGCCTTTGTTAGAGATCCAATTCTTCCAAAAACTGCGGCGAAATACCTTCAAGTGAGGATCAATTAGGGTATACGGTATGGCTGGACCAAGTCGGGGACACCCTTCTACCCCAAAACGAAAAGCTCCAGCCTTCTGGTCATCTGAAATGTCTCTCGGAGCCGTTCTTCTCCATGTTGGTTCACCAACCAAGGCCCAATTGGTCGAACTACCCCCACTATCGACACAGACAGGATGCTTCCAACTGTCCACCGAGCTGTCCACCCGCTCGGAAAAAGGGGGGGCGAAGCTGGACGACCTGCGGATGTTTTTGTTTTCCCCAAAAGACACAAGGACATTTCCGCAGGTCGTCCACGGACCACGATGATCGGTGAGTCGGTGGGACGACGCGACCGTTTTCGCCCTCGCGGAAAGCCATCGCACCTGAAGGCCATGTCCCTCACGTCGAAGCCTCCTTCGAGCGCTTCGTTGTTCCTGCACCGAGGAGAAAAGGAGCCGAGTGCTCATAAGTAGGTCCTAGGTGGCTTTTTCCTAGGGGACAAGGCAGCAGCCTCGCGTGAAAAAGTAAAAAAACCTTGCAAGACGGCTAAGACGGCTAAGAAAAGAGGTTCGACTTTAAAGCAGTTCCCTGGATACTGAAACTCCGATGATGCACGCAGACCTGAAGAAGTCGGGGTGTTGACATGAATGATGGCAATGCAGCTCTGCAGGTTTTTCAAACCCCCTCTCCCTCACTATGAGGAATGAGCCTCCTTTTCCTCGCCCTCTTTCAAGCTAATAGTGAGTCTTGATTCAAGGACTCGAGATGAATTCCAACCACTCAATCCTGAAGATTGGGGGGGTATACACAAGTGTTCATGGTACGCACAAACAACTAGTTTGGACGAAGACGCATGTCACCAAAGTCACAAGCGAATAGTTTCCAGGTTTCACCCATTCTCTTGCGAAGGCAGTTCTGCCCATTCCGTGCTCCAACACGTGCCCTGCATTTCCGCTGGTCTGGCACTTGCCTCGGATCCCCGTCAGCAAAACGGTCCTGAGCGAAACACGCGCAAGAAGAGTGAAATGGCTCTGGGAGTCTGGGAAGGGGAAAAAAGGAAAGCTGTGGTCGTTGCATCATTTGGTAAGTGCCTTAGAATGCTCCTGGAGCCCTGTACTTGCAGAATTCTGAAAACAATACACCGGCGTAGACCCAGATAGTTAGGCAGACCTGGCAGAATCCCACGACCTGTTGACATGCGACTGGCTGGAACAAGAATGTACGCAGCCTGCACAGCACCTCCACAGCGCGCACAATCAGCTGACACCAGCGCCGGCGCGCTTTGCCGAAAGCGCGCGCAGCCAGCTCAGCTTATTTGCAGCAAGAACCCCAGAGCTATCCTTATTTTGGGAATAACAACGTATGATCTTGCGCGTATAGGTTTATGCGCTGCGCCCAAACGGCAAAGCCCGCAAGCGTCATTGGCCCAAGGCCAAGCAGTATCCAGCGCCACTAGTGACTTTGTAGCACGCTTGAAGCAACGATCTGCAGAACGATAAGGCCGTGTGATCTTGCACGTGTAAGTTTATACGCACAAAAGTACGCGCACAAACGGCAAAGCCCTTAGGCTTCACTCGCCCAAGGCCAAGCAGTATCCAGCGCGACTATTGTGTGTAGCATGCTGAAACATGCTGAAACAATGGTCGGTTGAGAGCCTGACGTTGCGCATAGAACATTATACGTACAAAAGGATGCGCGCAAACAGTACAGCCCTTGACACAGCTGTCGGCCAAAACAGTACCTGAAGAGTGTAAATACCCCAACCCCACAGCGCTATTGGACAAAGAACGCTCAAGCGACAACACGGTATGATGTTGCGTGCATATGTTCACGCGGCCCATGACTGCTGGCACTTCATTGTCAGAAGCGGCGCTTGGTCGCCCTTCACTGCTGCAAGCGGCGGTTTGTTACCCTTCACTGTCAGAAGCGGCGGTTGTTATCATCACTTCACTGTCAGAAGCAGGCACCAGCACCGAGAGCTCACCGCGCACAGCACCAATATACTCAGCACCCAGCACCAGCGCCCGGCACCCTGTCTCCACCACGTGCACAGCCACCCTGTCTCCACCACGGCACAGCCAGCACCCGGCACCAGGCACCCAGCCAGCTCACAGCACCAGCACCAGCACCTGTCTCGAAAGCGCGCGCAGGAAGCTCATTGTTATTTGAAGTAAGAACCCCCTAGCTTTGCTATCTGGGAAAATTATCCGAAAATAGACCCCCTCACATATGCAAGCTACACCACCAGCACCAGCACCGGCACCGGCACCGGAACCCGGCACCAGCACCAGCAACCTGCCTCCACCACGTGCACAGCCAGCACCCGGCACCGCCACCAGCACCGGCACGCTGTCTCCACCACGCGCACAGCCAGCACCGGGCACCGGCACCCTGTCTCCACCACACGCGCAGCCAGCTCACAGCACCAGCACCACCACCAGCACCCGCACCCAGGCACCCAGCCAGCTCACAGCACTAGCACCAGCACCTGTCTCGAAAGCGCGCGCGGGCAGCTCATTGTTACTTGAAGTAAGAACCCCATAGCCTCGCTATCTAGGAAAAAGATCCGAAAATAGACCCCGTCACATATGAAAGCTACAGCGCCGGGACCCGGCACCACCAGCAACCTGTCTCCACCACGCGCACAGCCAGCTCAAGCTCACAGCACCAGCACCAGCACCAGCGCCGGCACCCGGCACCCGGCACCACCACCAGCACCAGCAACCTGTCTCTACCACGTGCACAGCCAGCTCACATCAGCACCGGCACCCCGGCACCCAGCACCAGCACCAGCAACCCGCCTTCCCCACGTGCACAGCCAGCTCACAGCAGCACCAGCACCAGCACCGGCACCCAGCACCAGTAACCTGTCTGGAAAGCGCGCACGGGCAACTTGTTGTTATTTGAAGTAAGAACCCCATAACTTCGCTATCTGGTGAGAAAAGAAACCATTACACCGGCATAGACCCAGATAGCTAAGCAGAATCCCACGACCTGTTGACATGCGACTGGCTGGAACAAGAATGTACGCAGCCTGCGCAGCCAGAATACGGCACCTCCACAGCGCGCACAATCAGCTGACACCAGCACCAGCACCGACACCCTTTCGAAAGCGCGCGCAGCCAGCTCATTCTTATTTGCAGCAAGAGCCCCATAGCTAGCCCTCGCCACTATGTAGCATGTTTGAAGCAACGATATGCAGAACGATGAGGCCGTATGATCTTGCGCGTATAAGTTTATGCGAACAAAAGTACGCATACAAACGGCAAAGCCCGTAGGCTTCACTCGCCCAAGGCCAAGCAGTATCCAGCACGACTTTTGTGTGTGTAGCATGCTGAAACACGCTGAAACCATGGTCGGTTGAGAGCTTGACGTTGCGCATACAACATTATACGTACAAAAGTATGCGCGCAAATTCTATATCCTTGACGTAAAAATACCCCACAGCGCTAATAGACAAAGAACGCTCACAGCCCGCACCAGCACCCGGCACCGGCCACGCGCACAGCCAGCTCAAAGCACCCAGCACCAGCAACACAGCCAGCACCAGCACCCGGCACCGGCACCCAGCACCGGCACCCTGCGCGCAGCCAGCTCATTTTCGTTTGAAAAAATAAGAAACACCAGGCGAACAGCCAGCACCCAGCACCGGCGCCCGGCACTGGCACCCGGCACCCTGTCTCCACCACGCGTGGTCTCCACCAAGTGCACAGCCAGCTCACAGCACCAGCACCGGCACCCGGCACCCAGCACCGGAACCCTGTCTCCACCACGCGCACACCCACAACCGCGTGCACAGCCAGCTCACAGCACCAGCACCGGCACCCAGCACCACCACTGGCACCCGGCACCAGCACCAGCAACCTGTCTCCACCACATGCGCAGCCAGCTCACAGCACCAGCACCAGCACCCGGCACCCAGCACCAGCAACCTGCCTCCACCACGTGCACAGCCAGCTCACAGCACCGGCACCCGACACCCAGCACCAGCACCGGCACCAGCAACCTGTCTCCACCACGTGCACAGCCAGCAGCACCAGCACCAGCACCGGCACCCAGCACCAGCAACCTGTCTCGAAAGCGCGCACGGGCAACACATTGTTATTTGAAGTAAGAACCCCATAGCTTCGTATCGGGGGAAAAACAAGGATGTTCTTCTTTGATCTTCTTTGGAAGCCTAAAGGGCTCCAACCCACGGGTTCGGGGAACCCTCACCTCGCTCGGGCGAGCTCCAACCCACGGGTTCGGGGAACCCCTCCTCTCCTTCCGTCGTCCGCTGAGACCCCCGTGCCGTGACGAGTTGGTAAATGGATAAGGCCCTCCAGTCCGCAGGCGATGGGAAGTAGCTATGGCCTCAGTCCGCAGCCGTGGGTGTTTGATTTGCGGAGCAGGAAGTTCGGTGCCAAGCACAACGAAGCTGACACCGGACTGGTGGTTGGTGGTGATTGGTGGTGGAAAACAAACAGAAACAACAAATTGTCAAATTGTACTGGACCAGTTTCTGATTGATGTTGGAACACCCCCAGTGCCTTCATCTTCTTCATCTTCCCTATCTTCCCGAAATCATCCCAAATCTATCAAAAACCGCACAAAGCCAACACAGTTCTGCCAGTTAGCCGGGCACAAGGGGTCAAACATGCCGACGCATGTCTCCGACACGCATCACGAGTTATCCGTTCTCCCGTCTCAAGAGGTCTCAAGCCTCACTTGGGCCCTGCGTGGGGAGGAACATCTTCATATCCCCCAAAATCTTCTCAACCTTCTGTGCAAGAGCCATTGAGTCATCGATTTTGGTATAGCTGGGAGCTTTACCAAGGAAGTTTTTTGCTTTACATGTTCAGCACTCTGTGACTGTACAGAGTCTTGAGTCTTGAATCTATAATTACAACCCTGTGTAGGGGCTGCAACTCTGAATTTGAGTGGTTTTATACTCCCAGAACTGATGCCGATGCATTTCAAGAAAGTAAACTACAACCTGGAGGGGTTGAAAGATGAAAGTGGAATCGCCGGACCCCTCTTTCGTTGCGCTTCGCAGCAACCGGACCTCTCCTCTGCAAGCGATGCCGGACCGCGCGGTTGCGCCGCGCGGGCGTTGGCGCGGGGGCTATGTACATGGGCCAACTGGAAGCCGGGATGTCCTTGGCTAGGCAAAGATGTCCTGAGGCGCATCTGCGGCACAAAACGCTGAAATCGAACATCGGCAAATGTACAGGACAAAGAAGCGGGAGTGGTGGTATTCCTTGTATTCTGAATACATGAGAATGCAGGGCATGATCTGATAAATAACGTCCATATCGATCTATGAGTCATGGCACCCCGGCATCCTGAGGTCATGGACGGACGAAAAACCGGGTCCCAAAAACGTCGCGCGGATCGCCTGACACCCAAGATGTTTGGTGGGGACTTGTTGTGAACATGTACCGTACCACCTTCAATTCGTGACCTCCAACTGGAGTGAGACATCACTGACTGCAATGGCAGACCTGTGACCTGATCCTGAGATCTCAAGTTGGGTCACTTTGAAGGTGCATACTCTCGCTCCTTTACGAGCCATGTACTGACTATTTAGGTGCGCTGTGCTGAACAAGCGGGCTTGAGATGTCTGCTTTTGACCAAAACGTGTGACACTCACCTCCCTTTGAGGCGCGTGGCGTGGTTGTTACTCACCCCGAAGCCCCTCACCCATGCAGCTCAGGCGTCTAAAAACTCTTCCACGGCCTCCCAGGTTTCCGTGCAGCTCTCCTCCACCACCACCAAGTTCACCTCAGCGCGGCCACGAAAAACTGTGGCCTCCGGGCGGTGCGAGCAGAAAAAATTGCCTTGGAATATGGTTGCTTGATGGTGCCTGAAATCCTCAGTCAGTGGACAAACGTGGTTGTTTCATGTTGTTTCTTGAAAAAGGAACGATATCAGTGCAAGATGCTCACATACCAAGAGTATCTAAGAGTCTTATATAGAGGGTTCAGATGTCCGTTCCGTTCCACTGCTGTCAAGGCTCCATCTTCCGCGCACCCCAGTGGCAAAGCTTACCTTTCGAAGGCGGCGCAAAAACTGCACAACCTCTTTGGCAGATTTTCTGAAGCTCGGAATGAGAGGAGGTCGACACTAGTTCATACATGTTGATACAGTACTGCTCCCTGGTTCTTGGGATTGGTTCGTGACTGGACGAAAAATAAGCGGACAATGACAAGTGGTGCATGTCGGCTATAGTCATCGTGATGTATTGTTGGATTTAGATACAGATGCAACTGCTTCTGATGTCAGGCAGGAAGACCGGAGCCCTACCACCTTGAAACACCATGACCAATTGGACTGTGAATACACAAGGAAGACACTTCCATGGAGGCCCCGGAAGAAAGAAACATGTGATTTCCCTGTCACGTGCATGGGAAATCGTGAAACATGTTGTTTTCGTGTGGTCGAAAACAATGGACCCCTCTCCCCTGCTGCCAAATCACGTCCATCTTCGCTCAAGGTCCAACCCTCCTTTCGCCAGCTCTCCAACCTCCTCACATGTTTGCAGTTCCTGCGGGCACCAGAACAGCTGGAAGCAGCACACGACTGCAAAAGCCAAAAGCTCTCTTGTCTCTCTCCCACTTTTCCATGGAACAGGACAGAGGGCGTCCCGATGTTTTTTTTAGCCAGTTCTAGAGGGGAAAGACTGGTTTTCTCCACGCAGTCATTCTCCTGATTCATGAATGGATACCCCGATTCCGATTCCGATGACTCGGGGGGGTGCTCGGAACGGAAGATCTGCGAGCTATCTGAAGAGTCGTCGGCATGGAATGGAAGGCCAGAGCAACAAGACCTCCTCGTCAGCCCAAGCTCGACATGAAACAAACTCACCGAATCTGGTCGATCAGGTCGTGCCACTGTATGAAGAGACAGTGACGTGACGTGGACCGAACCCATGGTGGAACTGTCTGCGCCCCGGTGGAACTCGTTTGGTGCACTGGTGCACGGTGCACCCCTCTGTCAGGCCCAAGCTCGACCCGCGGCCCTGCCCGGACGTCCGCACGGAGGAACGGACGTCCATCCACTCCTTCGTCTTGGACCCAACACCCTCCCTTCGTCAAAGGCATCTGGCTGCTGGGGTATGAAGGTGTGTGGTGCTATGATTTGCTATGGTATCAATATATAGATCCGGTAGAATCACCACTGGAAGAGGCAGACTATAGAGACATTTCAGGCCAAGCGTGCCAAGCATCTGGATCTGTCCCATTTTCCGCTTCCATTTCTCTGTACAGGGCCCGCTCCACTGCTGGGATCCGGACCCGAGCTACACTAACCTACCAAGCTGGCAAGTCAACCTTTGTGACCCATAGATTCGAAAGAGAAGAACTTGGCAAAGCTTGAGGAACCAAGACAGCTTTGTGTGGTTTCTTGAGAAAACCACAGCTTTCGTAGGGCAAAAAATATCTGCACAAAATCAGATGCTGTTTGGAAAGTAGTAATTACCTGACTGAATGCGTTCTTGATAAGGGCAAGAATCCACATTCAGCTGCCTCATGCCTCCGTCTTTTTGAGATGTCCCGTACTCCGCCTCGCCTACTTAGTCACTCACTGACATCAGTCTTCGGCGACCAACACGTCAGCGCCATACACATCGCTGGCAGGGAGGGAAAACCAGCTCCCACGTCGCACCACGGCCGTCCATCGCCACCGAGTCGCCATCCATCGCCACGCTCAAAGCGCCATCAACTGCTTCTGGATTCTTCGACAGTCGCCCCCCGAGGGCGCGAAGCCCCAGGTCACCACGCCAATGCCCGCGATGGCCGCGAAGGCGCCGTCCGTCGCCTCGATCTGCTGCACGTGCCTGCGACGAACCGAGGAGCAGGCCAGGCGACTCTTCCTCAACGGCGGGGTCGCCTGGACGTCTTGGGGTGGAAAAGGGATTTCTTCGGAGAGACATCGACCGGATCTTGGGGCGACTGTGCTCCAACTCAAGGATCTTTGGAGAACTGAGCCAGGCCAGGCGTCTTGAGGTTTACAGATTGTCCCAGCGGCCCCAGTCATGTTCGCCCAGGTCCTCATGTCCATCCCAACGCGGCGTGACGTATCATTTCTTGTTGCACGTGACTCGTCACCGGCGAACGCCAGAAAGGTCCGAGCAGAGCAAAAGGAAGGTACTTGGAATGGATGTCCTACCCGAAACCAGCTAGTTCTTGGGTGATTGATATGTCCAATGCGATCCATGACTTCTCCAATTGCAAACCTGCAAACCTGCCCCGAAGAGAAGAAAGCAAAAAAACATGGCTAGGCAACGCAGAACGCAAAACTGAACCAACAAGTATATGGCATCACCTGAGAAGGGGGAAACGAAAGCCAGGAGCAAGTACACACGCTAGACCTGAAGGACAAGACCTCTAGCACGTGTTTTGGAAAAAAAATACTTTCACATGTTACAGCCGTGAACCAGTAAGTCTAAGTAGAGTGTCACCCAAACATTCAATACACACAAACCAAATAGGGTCGTTGGAGCAGGTGGCTGATACAAAATGATGCACTGGGCCTTTTCACCTTGCATCTTCTGCATCACCAACCCACCAAAAATCACCTCCTTGGCAAAGTAAAAACAAGCAAGCTAATATCCAGCTTCTTCAAAGTTACCTTTTTCGAGTCTCTAAGTGACCTTTGACAGGCCTAAGTGACCTCAAAGGGATGAAAAGGTCACTTTGAAGAACCAGGATGGTTTACTTCCACTTTTCCGCACCTCCCAGACCCCCTAAAGACTCACTTCTTTGGCAAAAAGAACTTCAGCCTAGCCTATCAGCTGGCTTTCGTGATATAAACTTACAAAAACATGCAGAGAGGCTGGAAGACAAATCTCACACATCCCTACCAATCCTGGTCAACTTGCAATCGTCGAAGACTCGCACCGCATTGCCTCTTCATTTGGATAAAACCTCCAAATGCAACCTTCCAAGGAGAATGTTGTACACACCGAGTCTGCGACTCACTACCCCATCCGCGAATAATCTTTCCATGCATCTTCCACAGCAATTATATAGGGACTGCTTACTTGATTTCTTACCCTTTTCCACACTTGACAATGTATACTCTTAAACCTCTCCGGACTCAATACCTCCTTTTCTTCCACCACTTCCCACATTCCTCACCACTTCCCGCATTCCTTGCGTCCACTTCCCCCACCGCGCGCCTCAGCTGGTCCTGAACGTCCCCCGAGTCGCCACCGTAGTCCGCATCGCCCCAGGTCACGACCGAGCCGTCGCTCCGCAAGGCGGCGAAGGCGCCGTTGGAGGCTGCGATGTGCTGCACGTGCCGCAGCTCGGTGCGGACCGCGGCGCTGTCACCACCGGAGTCCTCAAAGACCATCCGTGTCACGTCGAATG